TTTTGACTTGAAGGTGGCTTGTTGCACGAGGAGTTTTTCTATTGTTGCAGGAGACTAACTAACATTTTGGAGTATTGCATCTCAAATGTTGCAAAATCTTATATTCTTGCAGTGGAGGTTTTAATTTGTTGCACAAGAACATAATTCGTGTTGTAGTAAATATTTTATTTTTGTTTAAGTTCTAATCGATGACTTTATGGTCACAAGCTCGATCTCCATCTCCCCCCCAAAATTTTGCCGCTAGGAGACTCATCCTACGTGGCTACGCTGATGGCCGTGTGTGCCTCTCTGTGTCGTGCAGCCAGCCACTGGCCTCCTTGCCGCTTCGCTCTTCCCCCTCGATCGTGGGAGAAGCTTAGCCGCTCGATTAATTATTAACCGTTCAATTAACGTGGGGAAAGAGCCGGATGGACGATGGATGCTGCATCCGATGCTAGCCACGTAGCAGCAGCAGATGGGCATGCATAGCAGTAGTAGCGCAGCAGCATAAGCAACAGGTGTGACAGGCGCGGGCATCCGGACGGGGGCTAGCATCCAGATGTCCGAGCGCTATCCACACAGCTCTTATAATCCTAAACCCCACTAGAATCCTATATCAACATACAAGTTATCCACCTCAGCAGTATACTAGCACATGCAATTAGGATGTCCACGTCAATGAGAACACCATGTACTACCAAGCATTTAGTTGTCCACAATAAGATGCCACTCCATCCACTATATTAATTTATAATAGTTTATTTCTTCATATAAGTAATTATATATAGTCTAATTTCATTCTAAATCATTCATATTTTCCGCAGCAACGTGTGGGCATGCTTCTAGTTTTTCCCTAAACTATATCACCAATATTTTGTTTACCTTCCTTAACATTTAAAATTATTTGTTTTTGCACCTTGGGTATTTTTATGGTGGTTTTGCTGATGTGGCGCTACATCATACTTAAACTAAACTGAAAGTTCAGAGACGTAAATCGGGCTAGAAATATTTTTAAAATATCCAATCATAAAAATAAAATTTCATATATTTATTCAAATGGTTTTACATGAAAATATAATGCAATTAAAAATCATAAATTTTGATTTAATCTTAGAAAACATGTTTAATCTTAGAAAACATGTTTTACCTCAGAAAATTATGAAACTAATTTTAATTTTTTTTCTAAAATCATGCTCTACCTTATGGTGCCTAGCTTAAAATGGTTTGAACATTATTTTTTCTAAAAATGTTTGAATTAGATAGAGCATGATTTTAGAAAAAAAATATACGTAACTAGTTTCAAAGTTTTATGAGGTAACACAAAGTTTTCTATGAAGTTTCTAAGACTAAACTAGATTTTAGGATTTTCAACATAGTTCGATTTACCCTCTCCGACGTGGCGTCCAACAGCAAAACCACCATCAAAACCACCCAAGACGACATTCTCGTCGACAGTGAGACGTCTGTGGTGACTTCGTCAATCTCGAGGTTTTACCGGACCAGTCTTCGAAGATGCTCACAATGGTGGGCTTTGCATGCGTGCGTTGATAGGGGTGTGTGTGTGTTGTGAGTGTTTGAGTTATATACTGTGTAATCGCAAAATAATTGCAAAAACAAAGGTTTTAAAAGCTGAGGAGGTAAAAAAAACTAATTTTGTAGTTTAGGGAGGAAAACTATATAACCGAATTGGATTTTGGTAAAAAAAACAAATTCTGTAGTTGAGAGAGAAAAATCAGATGACCGAATTGGAAATTTTTCCAAAATCAAAAAATAAAATGAGACCGAATTGGATTTTGACAAAAAATTCTAATTTATAGTTAGGGAAGAAAATCAAATAGGATTTTTTTCGAAATCCGAAAATAAAAAGAGTTGGAAGGAAGGGTGAGGCGAGCCCAACGTCGCAGCCCACTCAAGGCTTCCTCTTTCTTATAATTCCATGGAGCAGGCCTCTCACTGAAGGCTTGTTTATAATGCCGTGGCATAAAGCGCCAGCGGCTGCCTTAGACCAAGGTCGAGAGAGGCCCAGCTGCACGGGCTTTATAAGATTCGGAACGGGGCGGGCGGTGGCCCAGCCAACACAAATTCCTTAAAGATACACCCGTATGGGCCTTTCAACGCTGGCTCAAGCCCATGCACCCCGCCTCCCAACTCTGAAGCGTGTGTGATCTGACCGGTTATTTGATCCGGCTTTTTTGTTGCTACGGAAGCAATACGGTACTACTACGAATTAACGAGGCTGATACACGCGGGAGTACGTACGTGTACGTATGTGCTTGGAGAGTTGAAGGAAAAGGCTCAAGCCCATGAAGCACGAGGCCAAGCGTGATTATACATTAGTAAGAAGGCTAGAACTAAGCCCATAATCTCACGTCGGCCCACTCCATCAGTGCTCGTGCTCCTGATCACCGGTGAATCCACCCGCCCGTTGGACCCGCCGGGGTCTGCAGCCTGCGGGTGGCCGCTCGAGCGGGGTCGACGCTGGTGACTCGTCAGTGAGGTGGAAGTGGGACGACGACGGTGCCGCCGCGTCGAAGGCCTGCGGGCGACCGCCGTCGATGGCTTGGTGGTGACTGGTGAGCCCCCCTCGTTCTCTGTAAGCCTGGTACTAAAACTAAGAGATTTCGGGTGCACCGCGCGGAGCAAGGATGCTCGAATCTCTAAGCGCCGTGAGCGAGAAGTCCAAGGTTTTCCATGGCGTGTGTGCCTTGTGCCCTGTGGCACGGAAAGGAAAAAAAACGCCGCTGATCCTAGAATATTCGCTTCCATGGAGAGTCGAATCCTGTACCTTACTTATGTGGAAATTGTTCGTTGGATTTGCCATCGTGGCTAGTTAGTCACACTAATACATGTGGTGTGATCGAAGTTAGAGTCACGTCACGACCTCTAGTGCGATTAAACGGGCTAGCTCCTGGTAATTTAGTCTGGGATGTGTTCTTTTCAAAATAGTAGTTTTTTTTAACTAAGATAAAAAAAAAGGTTCCCCAGCCATTAGTTGTAACCAATTCCAAAAGGATCTATTCCAAAAACACTTACTATTTAATGGCCATGCCAACCAAGAAAATAAAGCAATAAGTCTATTTTACCTCCCCGGCTACTTTCCTATCAGAACTACAAAATCAGTTTCTAAGACCTCCCTCGGCTTTTAAAACCGTTTATTTTTACACCTTGGGGTGGTTTTAATGGCGGTTTTACTGATGTGATGCCACGTCAGAAGGGGGCGTGAATCGGACTAAGGACAAAGTTCAGGGAAGCAAAACAAACTAGATTTTTTTTAAAAAAAAATATCCAGACAATCATAGAAATAAATTTGAAAAATTTATCCAAAATATTTTTGCATGAAAAATAATGCAATTAAAAATCCTAAAATATGGTTTAATCTTGGAGAATTCATTGATAATTTATTTTACCACGGAAAGTCGTGAAACTAGTCTCATGTTTTTTTTCTAAACTCTCTTATGCTGTGGTGTCTAGCTTGAAATTGGATGAATCTTGATGGACTTATTTTGGTGCTTATTTGCTAGTAGAGGCTCTTATTATCTATTTAATTAGTCGATGTTGATGGTCCGATTACGTAGAAGCACTAGGGATTGTCATCATGACTATGTATGTACTATACGACAGGGTAGGAAGAAAAATCTAAAACTAGTTTCATAAATTTTCAAGGTAAAACAAAATTTCTAAGATTAAACCGGCTTTTGGGATTTTTATTGCATCATCAAAATCATCCAAGATGCAAAAAGGAAACGGTTTCAAAGTTGAGTAGAGAGAAATTTTATAGTCCAGGGAGGAAATTTGAGTGGATTTTTTTCGACAATAAAAAAGAGTTGGAAAGAGGGGTGAGGCGAGCCCACGCTGCAATCCGCAACACGCATTCCCATGAGCAGGCCTCAACGTACTCCCCCCACTCGAGGCTGCGGTCGCCTTCGAGCAAGGTCGAGTCGAGGCCCAGACTGCCTGACCATGGGCTTTATAAGATTCTCTCGAACGGCTGGGGAGCGTGAAAAGCCCGGTGCTATAACAGACGGATTTCGGGTGCATTGCGCGAACTTAGGATGCTCATTAGGAGTTCAGGACTAAGCGGTGAGTGAAAAAGTTAGGGCGCGTGTGTGCCTTAGGTCAACTTCACAGTCCCCCCTCCCGCTTGGGCAGGAGCGGCCGAACAGTTTCCACCCCAACTCGCGCTCGGCCGCTCACTCATGGTACGTCTCATCACATCACTGAGATGCAATGTAAAACGCAAAAGTGTGCAACTGGCAACGGTGCCTAGCTACATGCGCGGAGCCGTGGAGGTTTGTTACTCCCTCGTTGCTGTTTTTCCTAAACGTTAAACGGTAAATAGTCGGTCAACTACCGTTTAGCCATCGTTAGGAGAAAACGTCCAATGAAACATGCTAAACGCTCAATTAAATGGGGTAAATGGGTAATTAAATGGAAACGACGTAGCATCGTGTAGCGTTTACGCGGTGTTTAAACAGGCTAAACAATCGTTTAGGCGAACGGTGCTACTGCCTACTGTACAGATCAGAGGACTTGTTCCACGTCCCCAGAACCGCCCGCTACACGCTAGAATAGCAGCACTAGTATTAGAGTCCACATCCTTCACGCCGAAGCAGATCTCCTCGTGGACTAGAGGGCCTCCACGCGGCTCGGGACGATCGTGGCGCGGGTTCCCCCATCGCCAAAGCCAGCTGTGGCCGGTGTGACCGGGCTCCATGTGCGCCGTGCCCGTCGGCACCGCGGTCTACTACTTTCCGCAGGTCCACGGCCACGCCGAACTGGCCGGCGCCGCCGTGGACCTGCGCACCGCGCACGTCCCGCCTTTCTTGTCGTGCCGCGTCGTGGCCGTTAGGCTCATGGACGAGCCGGACACCGACGACATCTTCGCAAGACACGCCTTGTCCCGCTTCGCCCCTGGGAGCCCGTGGTGGACGTGGGCGACGCCCTGATGACCGACGGGAGCAGGGGCGCCGGGGACGGCCAGCAGCAGCAGCGGCCCAGGCCGCTGATGTCTTTCGACAAAGATGCTGACGCAGTCCAACGCCAACAACGGTGGCGGCTTCTCCGTGCCGCGGTTTGACTACAACTTCGACCCGCCCGTGCAGTTCGTCTCCGCCAAGGACGTGCACGGCGTCGAGTCGACGTTCCGCCACATCTACTGGGGCAATGCAGGTAACCTATGCCCCGGCCTGCGGTTCAAGATGGCGTTCAAGACGGAGGACCTGTCGCGGATCAGCTGGTTCATGGGCACCATCGCCGGTGTCGAGGCGGCCAATCCCGCACGGTGGCCGCAGTCGCCTTGGCGACTCCTTCGGTAAGTAAATAACACTAGTAGAAAACAGACCTTTCATCCGAGGCTAAAATGGGCTTTAGTCCCGCATTTTTTTGCCGGGACTAGAGAGACCTTTAGTCGGTTGGTGTCTCCAACCGACTAAAGGTCCATGCGAACGTCGCCGCCACATGGCGGGGGACCTTTAGTCCCGGTTGGAACACCAACCGGGACTAAAGGTGGACCTACTCCCGCCCCAACCGGGACTAAAAATCTCAACCTTTAGTCCGGGTTGGTGTTCGGGGACTAAGATGTCGTTGGTAACACCAACCCGACGGACCTTTAGTCCCTTGGTTGGATCCACCAACCGCTGGTCCCCGATGGGTTAGTTCGAAGGCATCCATCCATTGCCGGTGTCGTGTAGGTTGGGTGGTAAGCGGCGAGGCAATGCATGAGGTCTTGGATTCGAATCTCACGGTGGCCCTTTAGTCCCGTTGGTCGACCGGGACTAAAGGACCCCTTTAGTCCCGGATGCTTACTCCCGGGTGGGGAATCGGGAGTAGAGGTGGTTCCCCACCGGAAGTAAAGCCCGTTTCTGTATTAGTATAAAAGAACGCGCACGCCATCACTCCCTCCATGTTCTTGCTATGAACAGTTCAATAAATCGTGGTGGTTGCTTGCCGTTCCGCACCTGCGGAACGTGAACCGCGTGTGCCCATGGCTGGTCGAGCTGGTGTCGAGCATGCCCAACCTTCCGCGCTTCTCGCCACCGCCGCGCAAGAAGCCGCGCACACCGCCGTACACGTAGTCCCACTCGGAGTCCGGACCACTTTTCGACCCCGCCTTCCCGCCCAACCACCCACTGCCACTGGCACCACCCCACCCGGACACCCTGCCTCAAACCACGACCGGAACCGCCACGGTTTCGTCCCCTCCTTCCCCTTCCCGGACAGCATCGCTGATGCTGCAGGCATACAGGGAGCCAGGCATCCGCAATTCGCTTCATTCTTTTCGGATCTCCACCTCAGCATCCTGCAGCAAAGCCTGCTGTTCTGTGGCATCCCTGGCGACCACCAAGCCCCTCCCACGCCAAGGATCACCACCGACACCCGCGCCAAGGATCACCACCGACTCAAAGATTGGCAGCCCATCGCCCCGCTCTCCGTCACCTGAGGCCAAGAAAGGCGACGACGTCAAGCCACCGGGGATAATGCTCTTTGGACGGGCGATACTGACCAGGAGTGGCTCGTCCAAGCCCGACTGGCGACGAGAAAGCGTGTAACACGTCTGATCGATCTGGCTCCGACGTCACCCATGGATGTCCTGCCAAGAAGAATTCGCCCTCCTGAAGATCAAAGTTTTAAATCTCCGACTAAGCCTCCTAGCTGTTATCCTCCTCAACAGCTAAGCCTAGCTATAGCCGGGTATTGCTGTAACTAAGCCTAGCTATAGCCGGCTATAGTGTGGTGGTCTTGAGACAGTTAATCATCGTTGGGCTCATTCGAGGAGCTCTGCGCGCCTGTCCAGCATGTTCGGCATCCACAACGCTGATCTGAGGAGCCACATGGCCTACCGCACCATCGCTGGTGAGGTGAAGCACGTCGGCGGCGAGCGTGTGCACATCAGCGATTTCATTGCGTTTCCTTTTTTTATACAAATCAAAACCATACTATACAACTCCTTTCGATGTGATAGACGAGATAACTCAGTGATTGAATTAATGAGCAAACGTACATACCGGCTTATGGAAACAAATGTCCGGTAGAATAGGAAGAAGGCCAGCCACCATATCTGGACTCGCCTAAACAGCGTCATGCATTGCCATATGCACGATATACACAGGTGCACAGCAAGGAAAGAATCAGTCATGCTAATTATACTATTATAGTAGTCTAACACCCCAGTCTGAGCGTGGCTAGCCACAAGAAAGAATGTTCATACTGGACCGAAACTCGATGAAGACTGAAGACGGTAGACCCTTGGTAAAGATGTCAGCATACCGTGAGGACGTAGGAACATGCAACACTCACAATACTGGCTGCAACCCCGCTTATGAACAAAGTGAAGATCGATCTTGATGTGTTTGGTGCGCTAATGCTGCACCAGGTTTGTCGAGAGATACAATGCACTGATATTATCACAATAAACGAGTGTCGCATGTTTAAGGGGAATGTGCAACTCCAGAAGCAATTGACGAAGCCAGGAGGTCTTGGCAACTGTGTTAGCAATGGCACGGTACTCAGCGTTAGCACTAGAACGGGACACAATGGGTTGTCGCTTCGAAGACCAGGAAATCAGATTATCTCCAAGGAACAAAACATATCTAGACGTGGAGCGACAAGTATCCTGCCCAATCTGCATCTGAATAGGTAACCAAGGTGGAGACATTAGTTCATTGGTGCATCGAAGCTGTAACCCGTGATCCAGCGTACCATGCAAGTAGAAGTATATGCTTGATCAAAGCATAGTGGGGCTCCCTGGGGTGCATGTGGAGGCACACTTGCTGAAAAGCATAGGCATGCAATATCTGGACGAGTGAAAGTGAAAGTGAGATATTATAAAGCCCCAGCAAGTCCGCGATAGTGCGTCGGGTTAGAAACAGGAGGTCCCACTTGTTGACGCGCAAAATCGACAATGCGACAACACATTCGATCTCTTGATTAGAACAGCAGCTTGGCCGATCTTCTCTTTTGCATGAGCAAAATAGAACGGCCCTTCTCTTGCTGGCGTGAGCAAGCTTGACGTCACTACTACAGTGAGATAGTCCCGGTTGGGAAGGTTTCCCAACCGAGACTAGCGTTCCGAGACTAAAGGTGGTGTTCTTTAGTTCGGTTTGCCACAACCGGACTAAAGATCCTCCCACTTAAAAAAATAATAATGCCTCCCACCGCAAAATGAGATTCGAACCCAAGACCTCATGCATCGCCTCACTTACCACACACACAACACATCTAACAATAGATGTGATGCTTTTCTTTGAACTAACCCATCGGAGAACAACCGGGACTAAAGGGTATGCTAGTCCTGATCTTCTTCTTTGCAGGTTCCAACTGGAGTTAAGGAACCTTTAGTCCCGGCCGGTTGGTATTACTAACCGGCCTAAAGGAACTGCTAATGCTAAATTGGAATATCGTTCAAAAGTCTGTTCTCTAGTAGTGCGTGTTCCCTTTGATGAGCAACAAATTAATCTCAAACGGAATCTAAGTGGCGTCTAGATCCCGTTTGATGGATGTAACAACTAGGATTGACCCTAGCACTGCGATCTCTGAACTTGGCAGACAAGAACGGAGACGGAAGAAAAAACGAGAAAGAAAAAGTACGTAAGAATAACTGTGAAAATAGTAAATTGTTTTTTGGCAATGTTGGCAAACCCTCTACCGGCCTTAACCCCACATATATATAGGGTGACCTAGACTTTGATCTTACAATGTGTTTCCTCGTGCAATACGGCAATTGATCTCTCTACGTACGAGTGTGTGGACTCTTTCCTCTGTCCGAACAGTTCCTCAGCATCTCCGTGGTGCACGGCATGCACACTGTATCCGCCCGCCATGCGCAGGATGTGCTTGGTCAGTCGCCACCGTCCCTGCGTTCCCGCACAGCCACTGGCTCTGAAAACCAACATATATCTTTTCATCTGCTTTCTTCCAGCGCAAATCCTCCTCTTCTGATTGCAATCCAGGCTGCCACGACCAGCACGTGACTCACCACTAAAAATTACGTATCTCATGTACCTGCACCTGCATGTCTCAATAAAAAATTGCTAACAATAGCACGACACCGGCTAATTACCAGCACTTCCTTTTTTAATCTGTATTCCGGTATTCCCATCCGGGCCAAACCAGTATTAGGATCTTTGATCTTTAAAGCCGAATAAATTAAACCTAACCAGGTAACCGATTCTTCGACCAAATAATTTACATGATCTATATTTATAATTTACCAAATTTAGCTATCAATACCACTGTAGCAGAAAGCTTGGCAGAATTGTCAACCGGTGCAGAACATGGTTTGCAATCGGACATGCCAGCACGCTCAAGTATCTCAAGAATATACTAACGCTGTGAGAGAAGGAAACCACCATTTGCACGAGTGACATTCAGCCCTAGAAAGTGATGCAGGGCCCAAGATCCTTCATAGGAAACTCCTGCTGAAGAGCAGTAATGACCTGACGAAGCAGCGGAACCGAGGATGCCGTCAACACAATATCATCGACATAAAAAGCAAGTAGACTATCTTGGCGCCTCGCTGATAAATGAATAGTGAAGTATTAGACCGAGCACTCACGAAACTCAAAATGAGAATACAAGTGGCAAACCGACTGTACCAAGCGTGAGGAGCTTGCTTCAGACTATAGAGGGACTTATTCAGACAACTAACAAAGTCCGAATGGACACTGTCAATAAAACCAGAGGGCTGCATACAATAGACAGTCTCATCTAAGGAGCCATGTAAGAATGCATTCTTTACGCCAAGCTCGTGAACATGCTGTGAGCACTGTGTGAATGGTGGTAGGCTTGACCACTGGATTAAAGGTCTCATCAAAATCAATTTCTGGATGCTGCGTGAAACCACGAAGCACCCAACGTGCTTTGTACCTTTGAAAAGACGAAACTTGTGATGATACACCCAATTGCCTGTCACAATGATTGCACCATGGGGGCGGGGAACTAAGCCCCACGCATTGTTGGCAAGCAGTTCAGAGGATTCCTTGGTCATTGCTTCTCTTCAGTTAGGATCAGCCAACGCCTCGCGATAGGACTTCGGCATTGGGGACAGAGAAGCAGCATGAAGATTGAATGGAATCTTCAGCTGGCAAAAGCTGCGCGTGAGCATACTATGCTCGTTGTATGCAGGGCCGGATGCATAGGGGGGCTGCAGCCGCCTAATTCTAAGGGAGCAACTCTTCAACCCAGGGCAAAAAAAATCCTCATCCACCGCAGCAGACCCTGCCTTGCCCCAGCCGCACTCACGTCGACGCGTCCTCTATGGCCTCCGCCCTGCGCCCTCCACGCCACCGCGTCCAGCGTTTGGGGCCAGTGGTCCCGC